CTGCCCTGACGCCATCTAATAGGCCTACTAATCAGGAGCTGAGAAATAAACGGCCCTTGTTCTTGAACTAAGGGTGTATTAATGGTACACTCTGTCCCTAATACCTGTATCTTCTCCTTCACCTGTTCAACAAAAATATAGTCACCATAAAAAAAAAAATGACGGGAGATATTTAAGAGGGAGACAATTATTTCTTTAAACAGGCAAGTATCAATAAAAAAAAACAAAAAACAATTAGTTAATTAACTATTGGTAATTAATTATTTTGTTTGGTATCTCGAACATGGAATAAATTGTACTTGACTGATGTGGAGGTACAAGTTTGTAGGTCGACGCTTTAAAGTTTGAAGCTAACAATAGATAATTAAAAACCTATTTTTATAAGTGATTCACTGGCAGAGTGGTTAGTGTATTGGTTAGAAGAGGCTTTAGAATTTAGGTCATTCACCTTTTTTATATAAATGTATTTACACAGCAATCACTAAGATACCCCCTTCTTAATGCCTTTTCCAACTGGTCCAGACAAGTGACAGGATCATAGCGTATTGAGAAAGCTAAAAGTGTGAAATTGCGCTAAATAAACAATAAAAAAAAGGGTAAAAATATTTGTGATTTCTCAGATTTATTGTTGTTAGTTTAGATCTATTACAAATTTAAATACATGACTGATCCCAGCTAATTATTATAACTACACTTAATATAAGCTTTGTGTTTTTAAAAAGTATTTTTTAAAAATGTTTTTCTTGTTTTAAATTCTCTTTTCTTCTGAGCTTTTTTCTTAAAAGTTTTCTTATAGGCTTGGGCCTGTATCAAAGATCTTATTGGCCTGTATCAAAGATCCATTATATTATGATTAGAGACGCGTTCACTTACCATTCTTTCAAAACTTTTGGGTTAATTTTGTCGAAAACATTAGAGTTAATGGCATTATAATCTTTGACCAAGGCGTTGATCACATCAGTTTTCTGTATGGAAGCTTTTGACGCTTGAAGATTCTCTAGATTGAATATTTCTGACTCTAATTTCTCCCAAGTCTACAGAGTAAAATGAGTAGAGGAATAATCTATCAGGACATAAGTTGTCATTAACCATACAACCATACAGGCCCATTTCAGACATGGCTTTATAGCGCTATGGCCGACAGGTTTATTGGGCCAAAAGCCTTGTAATACGAAGAATGTGATGGCATTTTTAACTTTTAACTCTCTCTCACAGTACTAGGCGAAAGACAGTGTGGAATAACGTGTACAGACTTTTTATCAGAGTTAATATAAGCTTTGTAAAAAAGTCAAGTAGTTCCAAGATGGCTTTTCATGAAGAGTATTACTGTGGGGAACGTAGTATGGTAGTATGTATACTATGTTAGGATTAGATGTGAAATAAGAGAGTTCTAAGCCAAAAAAGACTTTGTTAATGTATGGTTTGTACAATCTTGGCTAATTCATAAGAAATAATCAGGGGTAACTCAGCAAGAAAAACATCTGGGATAATTTCATTAAAAAAATATGTGGTAATTCAGCAATAAAAAAAATCAGGATTAATTCAACAAGAACATATTTAATACAATATTCACTCCGTATGAGACCATATAGTCATCATTTTGTAAGAGCCATAGGCCAATAGATAACCTACGTGCGAGTTAAGATATAAACACTTTCCATATGCAGCAGTTTTGGCGATACCGTTTTGGCGTGGTGCATAGACCTACAAAATCTACACATATTTATTTCAGCATCCTTGCACTTTTATCTCGATTGGATTTGTCACTGATCACAATTCAAGTAGATCAAGATCTAAATATTTGTCTAAACAGAAACTACTCTATCACCTTGAAAGAATGTCAGAGAACAGAGGAGCGAAAATTGTATACAGGCAGAAACGAAAAGGTAGGCGACTCAAAGGCAAACCCCGAATGCGATGGATTGATGATGTGGAGGCAGATCTGCAACAGCTTGGGGTTAGGGCGTGGAGACGAAGGGCCCAGGAGAGATCTGAATGGAAGGATGTGTTGAAGCAGGCCAGAGCCCTCCAAGGGTTGTAGCGCCACTGGGATGGATAAATGGAAACTGCTCTTCAAAACTAAGTAACAAATAAATAAATAAATAACAACTACTTTCTTATTCATGTAAGCCAGTTACACAGAGACCTACTACAGACTACAAACAAGGGGTTATATTAAGTGAAACATGATCATGGAATTCCTAGATTAAATAAAATATTTCAAAATAAAACAAAGCATTAGGATTACTTTAAAGACATTTTTACATATCAAACAAGAGCAAAAGACTAAATTTAACCTTGGTTAGGCGAATATTAGAATAGGTTATGCGTCCTTTGTTTGGGACCCCATTAGTGAAATTACTAAATTTAGAGACACTTCAGGACAGAAGAATAAAAAGTAAAGTAGAAATAATACATAAACACTGAACCATAATACAAAACTTAATAAAATATTTAGAAAGACACAAAGATAAAGGTGCATTTCTTATTCAATATGCTAAGATAAATTTGTATAAATTCTCCTTCTTCACTATAGCCATTTCAGCATGGAAAAGGTAGCCTGAATCAGCCAGAAAAAAAAAACGAGTTGTTTAAGTCTCTACAAATAGTCTGTAATTAATAAGATTAGATTTATTACCAAACAAAGTCTATATGTTGTATTAAAATTTAAAGCAAGACCAGCTCTATGCGTTAATGAAATTAAATAAACTTATAACAGATCATGAGTCTGGATCTTCATCTACATTTACTTTTTAAATCTAGATCTGGTCTAGACTGAGACTCAGATTACGGAAAGTCTAACAGTATAATCTACAATCGATCTAATTTAGATCTGACAGACTCTACTTTTAATGTTGGGTTTATTAATTTACCAATGATCTCGCAATACAGACTGCTGGCTGCAAAGAAAACAAAAGCAGGCCTATATGTAAAGAAAAAGAACGAACTATCAAGAGAATGTGAGACATGTTTAGTGTGAATGGAACAGGAAATGGGCCTAATGTCAACAATGACATCAATAGTATAGTTCCATAAGTAGACACACGTTCATTGATTCGTGTAGAGTTTTTGTCTAAAAATAGTTTGTCCGCGCACATAAGCTGAAACAACGCAATTTTCAAGTAGATATGCCTAGATCTATAATATATTTGGTTATGTCTGCTCTAGATATGGCAAAGTATGTAGGTCGCAGCTCGGACTGCGTAGCCACGGGACATACTGCATTCCTAATTAATCTTCGCACTCAAGACAAACCACTAGCGGATCCAGACTGTGGAGTGGGGGGTGGGCGATTTTTTTCCAAACCCTAACCCTAACGCCCAGTAAACCCTAACCCTATGCATAAACGTGCGTACAGCGCGCGCGCGTGCACACACAAACATATATATATATATTTCTCAACCTTCGGCGAAAACAAAACAACTGGGGCAGCGCTATAAGGTTCTCTTGTGGGGTTCGGGGCGAAGCCCCGACGACTAAAGCGTTTTCTTGCTTTTTTCACAGTAGAAACGTATTCTCCTCCATGAATGTGTGTCGCCTGACGTACCTGTTAGCGCTTTCCTCGTATAGGCTTCCATGTTATCGCAACTCTTGGTGTGCGTAATTCATTTTGTCGTAGAACATGTCCCGCAAACCTCATGCGACGCTCTGTCAACCTCACAATGTGTTCGACTCCCAGTCCGGCATAGGATTTCCTTGTCTGAGACCCGATCTGTGTAACTGACTCCCAAAATCCGTCTCAGCCATTTTTGTTGAGCCACAATTAGTCTTTTCTCACGGGATTGGACCATCGGAGTCTAGTTGTAGTCAAGTCAATGAAACAAGTGCAACATAGTGAATCTAGTTGTAGAGTCCAGTGGCGTAGCAAGGTAGCCGTGGACCCGGGTTCAATAGCATCTTGGTGGGCCCCCCTCCAGCCAATAAGACAAATTTAGTGTGTGTGACAAAAAGTGAGTAATCCAAATGTAATGACATTCCAATGCAAAGATCGTACCTTTTTTTAAAAATAAGTAGTAGTGTCTTAAAAGTTAATGTTTTTACAACTTTTTAACAGAGTTAAACGACTTTAAAAGTGTTTCAAATCAACAAACAGATGTTCTTCCTAAGTTCTTATGTGAGCCCCAACTGGCCTCTTGGGCCCAAGCCTAATGAACTCCTTCACGCCATGGTTGCTACGCCACAGCTGTGGGCCCGGATTCATTGAACCCCTACGCGCCATGGATGCTACACCATTGGTCAAGTCATTGAAACAAGTTTAACATAGTGAGTTTAGTTGTAATGAAACAAGTGCAACATAGTGAGTTTAGTTGTAATGAAACAAGTGCAACATAGTGAGTTTAGTTGTAATGAAACAAGTGCAACATAGTGAGTTTAGTTGTAATGAAACAAGTGCAACATAGTGAGTTTAGTTGTAATGAAACAAGTGCAACATAGTGAGTTTAGTTGTAATGAAACAAGTGCAACATAGTGAGTTTAGTTGTAATGAAACAAGTGCAACATAGTGAGTTTAGTTGTAATGAAACAAGTGCAACATAGTGAGTTTAGTTGTAATGAAACAAGTGCAACATAGTGAGTTTAGTTGTAATGAAACAAGTGCAACATAGTGAGTTTAGTTGTAATGAAACAAGTGCAACATAGTGAGTTTAGTTGTAATGAAACAAGTGCAACATAGTGAGTTTAGTTGTAATGAAACAAGTGCAACATAGTGAGTTTAGTTGTAATGAAACAAGTGCAACATAGTGAGTTTAGTTGTAATGAAACAAGTGCAACATAGTGAGTTTAGTTGTAATGAAACAAGTGCAACATAGTGAGTTTAGTTGTAATGAAACAAGTGCAACATAGTGAGTTAAGTTGTTGTCAAGTCAATGAAACAAGCTTAACATGGAATGAGATATTGTCCTCATTGGAACATAGCAGCAGAAATGTCTGTTACATTGAGGGCTCACATCTATAAAATTAGATAATAATTGAAAATTGTTGAGAAAAACACAAGACAAATCTCTCCAGAACATTTTTGTTTATTCTGTAATCCCACATCAAGGCAACACATGATGTAGAAGTGAGCCCACTCATTCATGACATGATTCCATGGTACAATGACTTACACTGCTAATTACTTCATTTTACTGAACGATATACATTTTTTTTTTTACTGATGATACTTTTGGTAAAGCTTTTCTTAGCATTTAGTTATAATGTCATTTGCTTTGATAAATATTCGTGCAAATAAATTATAAATATCCACATTATGAAAAAACTTCGTAAAGATATAAATAATACAATGAATGGCCTTTTTTTTCTTCCCCAAAATAATGGAGAATGAGCTGTAATATATGTGGAGAAAAAAAGACAGGAAGGCTAATTATCATCATAAGATGCACAAATACTTTCTTTTAAAAACCCTGATTTCCTCTTCCTGCCTGCAATGTTGACACCATGGGTTGTTTTTTGACTTGAAATGTTAAAAGCAAATGGACAATGATCCAAACTACAATGTGCTATAAGAGCTTTTTCAGGCCTAGATAATGCCCAAGTGTGCACCCAAACAGCAGATGTTTTTTGGATTCATCTCAGAACTTAGAAACAATTTTCTTCTTCAAACTTTTGTAGGGTTACTCATGCATGATACTGGATAATAGATGATATACTTATACACACACAAATACCAAGAAGAAAAAAAAAATATATCTTAAGAAAATACTTTCAGTTTCTATCTACCAGCCAGCGGAGACAAAAAGTTGTTTTATTGTACAGTTGGAATGAATACATTTATTGCAGGACTTTGAAATAATGTAAGTCATATAAGAATAGCTTTATTTTAATGTTCAAATCTGTAGAGCTGCTATAAAAATGTGCTAGTTTAAAAAAATATCAAAGTTGAGGTAGTCAAGAACCAGTGGTTTTTAGTTGGCAACAATTTTACTACCCAGACAACAATGACATACAGAGATTCTAAAGAGAAACAGTTTAGTGCTGTATGGCTATAAAGTTAAACTGAAATCAGATCTTAGTGCTGTATGGCTATAAAGTTAAACTGAAATAAGATTTTAGTGCTGTATGGCTATAAAGTTAAACTGAAATAAGATCTTAGTCCTGTATGGGTGTAAAGTTAAACTGAAATCAGATCTTAGTGCTGTATGGCTGTAAAGTTAAACTGAAATCAGATATTGTCTTTGAAATAAAAAACAAAGTTGCTGTTTATTCAAACAAATTGAACTTAATTGCCATTGAAAGTACAGACAAAATCTCACCGGTGTGTATGTAACATTTCAACATTTATAGTGTATTTAAAAACTTTTCACAAATATTTCACTAGACATTATTTTAGTGTACCCTAATTTCCAGCTCTCAATTTTTCATATAAAATTTAATCCGAATAGGGCAACATTATGGTATAACAATGAAACATTTTTTTTTTAAAACCACTAAATTCCAAAAAAAAATTCCAAGCTATTCAAAGGCTGTTATTATACCGTCTCCTGTTATTGAACTAGAGGACAAAATATTATACTATTACATTTTTTATTGAACAATATTATACTACTACATTTTTTATTGAACTAGTGGACAATATATTATACTATTACATTTTTTATTGAACTAGTGCACAATATATTATACTATTACATTTTTTTTTACAGAAGAGATGCTCTTACTGTATGTATTTTTCACTGAATGTCAAAACAATTAGCATGATATAAGAAATATTGTATGATTTAAACATGCCATAATGTGCAATTAAGTGAAAGCTGGCTGATTTTCCTTCATCAGTAAGAAAAATGAATCCTGATTGTACAACAGAATATTATGGAACTCAGTAAAAAAACTGATTAAATTGAAAGTTTGAATCATTCAATGCTTTGGACTAAAAAAAAACATTCTTGAGTACAATCTAGTTGATTTAAGTAACAAAAAAAAAAAAAATGTTTGTTGACTATAGCATGAAATGACAAAACAAAAGTTGATTGTGTTGACTAAGTTGAACTATTCAATGGTAACTAGTTAGGAGATAAAGTCTCATCTGGTGGTTGAAGTATATATAAAGAACATCTATAAAGCCACACAAGAAATAGTTTAGAATATATTGTGCTATGGAAGATATGAATGCAGCATTTAACACTTGACCTGAAAAAAAAAAATAAAAAAATTTAAAGCTAAAAAAGTCAATTTACCAACTCAGATTCACTGGTTCCCAGATATGGGTCAACACTCATATCATAAACATTGGTGCAACTTAGTGTGCATAAAACAAGAGATGGCTGGAAAACAAGTGTAGTTTCAAGTGAGGCAGAGAGGTGCTCTCAAAAGAAAAAAAGTCTGACAAGCTAAGAGACGACACAAGGCAGTAAGACTGAAGGAAAGACATTTTTTCAGTTTTGCAATAAGTAAATATTTCATTTTCAAAATTATGAACCATGTTTGATCTATGCCACAGTCAGAAAATTTTTAGATGTTAAAAAGCATTTATAAAAACCAATAAAATAAACCAAGACGTTTAGCTGTATATGTTTATTTTCTACCATAGCGGACACTTATGATTATATACTAATTAGGAGAGTAAGTCCTGAAATTAGGACAGCTTCAAATCCAAGTAATATAAAGCAGTATTTTAATAAGACAGAAAGCCCGAAGACTATGATTCTAAGCAGTTCTGTGAAAAACATTATCAGTTAAGGAGACTTTAAAGAGTTAACTGACAAAAAAGTCTTCTCATGCATATTTAACCTCTGACACAGGTTAAGGCTACTAACTCACCCTACATACCCACATCTAAAAGAATGTGATGCCCTCAACAATACTTACAGCTATTCTAAGAGCCTGGTCCAGATCTTTGATTAGATCCTCAACATCTTCAAGACCAACTGACAAGCGGATAAGAGAGTCTGTTATACCTAACACTGCTCTTTGGTCCTCAGGAACTGAAGCATGAGTCTGCAATGACCTAAAGAAATACAAGTTGATATTAAAAGGAATGTAAATGAAAAAATAAATACATTACCTTATTGTTGAAAAAATCTCTACCTGGATGATGTATTAAATATTGTCTATAAAAGGTAAACTTTTTTGTTTTGTATTTCTACTGATATTAAAAGCTAATAAAGATGGCCTTTTTCCCCTTTTTATTTTGCTTTTGAAAAAAAAAAAAAAAGATTCTCTTTCAAAAAACAATAACCAATTCCCAACACATATTTTATAGATACAAAGAAGTTTATTGGGCACATAAGGTGAAATTCAACTGTTTTTATTATCCTGGGTTTAGTAATAACTATATTCTCTGGTCAGGAAGAAAGAGTTTAATAAGTCAATCACTACTTCTTGCTGCAGAGTGCTAGCTCATTAGACTAAAAATAATCCCTTAGTTTTAAAGGTATGTTTAGGCTTTCCAGTGCTTTTTGATAAACCACAAATTTCAAAGGAGGTTGACATTAGTTAAAAGTGTCAAATAAGTTTGTTGAACTGGTTTGTCCATGGAATAATGTAGGGTTAGCCAATCATCAGCCTTCCAAAGAGCACTCCAAAAGAAAGTTTGTGAAGCAGTTAGTATAGTACGGGGTGAACTGTACTATCACTCATTGCAGTCTATCAGTTACAAGTTATAAAAATCTTCAAGATGAGTTTCACTTCTTAAGTTACAGAGTCCTGGAAAGTGAAATCCAGACTTCACCAGCTGTAAACTGAAGAAATTCAGTCAGACAGAATAGAACTAAATGACTTAACTACTTTCCTAATGCTTTGTACTAAGTCTTAGTTAATATTACTGAAACATACAAAAGAAGTCTTCACTTAACTTACGGTAGTTCACAGAGACTTTCAAATCCACCAAGACTTTCAGCCAAGGTGAAAATCTGGAAGGAACCAAAAAATATTTAAAATTCCCTATGTGATAAATTGGTCAGTTAAAGTGCTTAACTATCCTTCATATCTAGTTAACACTCTCTATGGTATAAGAAAGCAAATAATGCAACAATATTCTCTCCTACTCAATGCAAGAGATCATGTGAAATGTTCAATTTCTTAGGCTTATTTCATACTAAATAAAGCTAGGATTGTTGGACGGTTTCATCGTGTGTTAGATGCATGTAACGTTTTCAACTCCCACTGCCCGACATATTAACAAATAAAAGTTCAATGAGACCCATATTTGAAAGTCTTCAGCAAAAAATGTAAGGAAACTTTAGGCCTTTATTTTTTTTAAGTGACTGTAAATTGATTATTTCTTCAATGTTAATTTTGTTAAATCTCACCTTGCATGATTTAAGAAAGGTTCTAGAAGCTTCTAGTCCACCTTTTATAAAAAATATCAGCATGCCAGAGTATCCAATCATTTGCTTCCTTCCCAGCTCATATTGTGGGTGAGAAGGAAGCCCTACAGTATAGAGAATAGTTTAAATATTAGCCACACTAGTCAATGCAGTTCACAAAATTGTGTAATTCTATCATCTACATCAATGATATCATTAAAAGAAGACTTCAAAATAGCTGCCAAAATTAAACACATGAAAAATCTTTAATCTCTCAATCAAGATGCATTTGTATATAGTCTTCAAAAAAAATTCTTAGTTAAGGATGAATCAAACTATATTTTCTTTTTTTTGTTTGTTTGGAAAAACAAAATTTCTTAAAGAAGACTTGACATATAGTTTACAGTACCTGGATGGACAACTTTCTCTACAGCTGGATGAGTCTCCAAAAACTCTGCCACAGCCAGTCCATTTTTCATGTGTTCCTTCATTCTTACTGCCAATGTTTTCATGCCTCTATTACACAAGTAACAGTCAAATGGTGATGGTACAGCTCCAATAGCTAGAATTTCAAAAAACAAAAATGACCTTATTTAAAGAGAGCTCAGAAAAATATTTTGTAAAATGTATTTTAATAGGACTATATTTTCTATTTTCCTGAAGTTACCATTTTGAAAGAAGCGAAGTTGCTCTGCTAATGCATCATTGTTTAAAAGCACAGCTCCCATTATGACATCACTGTGACCTGACACAACAAAAATATTTAGATATAAATCAAATTGGTTTTTCAAGGAAACATAACTGTTATTTATTTATTTAAATTTATTAAATAAAAATATTTCTAATAATTTAAATTCTCAATTTTAAGAAAAGCCAACAATTATTTTTACCATTCATATATTTAGATAACGAATGCATGACTAGATCTGCCCCAAGGGATAAAGGTCTCTGAAACACAATTCAATAAATAATAATTTTAAAATGCTTTTAAAATTTCTCTTTTAATTTAGTAAATGTGCAGAATAGAAGCTACAAAATAGAGCAACAGCTCCAGACCTACTTGAAAATAAGCTACAAAATAGAGCAACAGCTCCAAACCTACTTGAAAATAAGCTACAAAATAGAGCGACAGCTGCAGACCTACTTGAAAATAAGCTGACATAAATGTGTTGTCAACAACAACAAATGGACGTGTGGCCCAACCTTCTGACTCTGCCCGGACAGCCTGACAGACAGCAGCAATGTCTACAAGTTTCATAGTCGGATTCGTTGGCGTCTCTATCCAGACCATCTGAACAAAACCATATTATCAAATTACAACAAATCTATAAAAGAAAAATAAGAAAATAAAATAACAAATGAAAAGTAAAAGCTTACTCTAGTATTTTGCTTGATGGATTCAATGACATTCTTGATCTGCGTGCAATCAACAAATGAGATCTCAAGTCCCAGCTTGGCAGCACATCTACGAAAGTAACGATTGGTTCCTAGAATAGGATGAAATACATACATTTTGAATTGAATGAGATCAAGTTGTGCGGATAAAAATGAATAACTCTGTCTACTTATACATTAAAAATAAGCATTGATATGCAGTGGAATATTGAAAGCGTTATGTCCCTTTTAAATGACATTTGAACATTTCAAGAGACCTATGTGTGCATGTGATAAATGCTAGAAATTTATTAAATGTTATCTATTGTTGACTAAAGAAAATGTACAATTTTAACTAACAAATCTTTTAGCCTT